GTTCCTCATAGCCGCTCCCTGACCAACTCCAGCCTGAGCCTTTCTGAAGGGTTTGTTAYAAACCGCCCTCATGCGACTTAAAAAAGTCTTAACCAATCTGCAGGAAGGTGTTACTAAACTTACAAAGTTTTAATAAACCTACAAAAAAGGTCTTAATAAACTTACAAAAGTCTCAGTAAGTCTACAAAAACCACTTATTTACGCCTATTTTAATTAACGTACAAAAGGGCTTTAGGAAACTTAAAAATGGTCTTACTAAATGTACAAAAATGTTTACATAAGCCTACAAAAAAGGTCTTCATGAACCTATGAAAAAGGTTTTAATAAACCTACAGAAAAGGTCTTAACCCGCAAAAAGGTCTTAAACTGACAAATATATTTTAAAAAAACTCACAAAAAATGTTTTAAACGAGCAACCAAACACGATGAGTTGATTGTGTCAACATTTTGAAGTGCAAAGGCTTTAGATTTTTTTGACCCCCTGATATGTGGAAGAAGGTTTTCACTATTAATTCCTTTATTTCTTAATTTCTTTCAGGCCGATGGGAGGCCTCGTGGTGGTCAGCAGATTCCTCATGAGGGGAGACTCACCTCCCTCAGGAAGATTTCTGAGGGAATTGCTTTTTCCCACACAAACCAACTTCAAATCCATACTTCACATTTTTCCCCTCCAGCAGTTTGTTGTTGTTGTTCTTTGTACCTATCCCTCCAATTATGAAGTAACAGAAATGTCAATTTATTGCTCGCTTGGCATTCCTTGAACCACACTGGCAGGAATCTGACTGCCTTTGACCACTTTCCATTGCAATGTTATGTTTTACTATGGAATTATTTCAAATGGTTCTGGCATAAGCACTTGTACAGGAAGGCATAAAGCTGACATCTGTATATTCTAGGATGTGGGAGAGAATTTTTTCCTCTTCAACAACACACAAAAGTCTGAAAAAATATTATTCCTTGTTTAGCAATAACTGCCGGTGGTGACTTCAAAAGAGTAAATGCAAAGAATCTGCTAAAGAATTCCACTTTTTCAAGTCATCATCCATTTCCTACTCGTACTCCCAGTTCATCCATCACAAATTTGGAATTTCTTGAGCCTTACTTTAGTAAAATGAAGCAGCTCTCCTTTAAAAACTATGTTCCGGACCTTGTGTTATTCCACCTCTTTTCGTCCTCAGAGAAGGAGCATGGTGGGGACAGGCTGCAGGGAAAGACTGTCCAAGAGACAGATGGAAAAATAAATCTTCCCAGGAGAAAACTGTGGGACTCTTGGGGCGATCCTGTGCAGAGCCAGGAGTTGGACTCGATGGGCCTGGTGGATCCCTTCCAACTCAAGGTATTATTTCTAATTAACATCCCTCTTCAGTCGTATCTCCTCTCCCTTGCCAAAAAGGAGTGTTTTCCAAAGGGAATGCCCAACTCTCAAATGCAGAAGGAGAGCCAAAGTGAGACCAGCAGCATGGAAAATTGGGGCACTTTATATTGTCAAAAATGCAATTCCCAACCTTGTCCTTGCAAGGAACACGCACTGCTCAAACTCTTAAAAATTAAGACTGGGGTGATTTATTAATCTTGTTAAGAACTCTGATACAAAGCACAGTAAAAGGCCACAAACCAGTAAATAAAATGTGGCTTCTGAAGGCCACTTGATAAATGCTGCTACAGAACTACCGGTAAAACAGACTCACTCTCGCACCGGCTCGAACACGGGGTTCGACCTGCAAAGAAAAGTTCCATTCGCTGATCAGTTTAAAAAGTTTAATAAAGCTTTAAGTGTTTGCTGGTTTAAATGCTACCAATTTCCAAAGTGGATTCACGAGTAAGTGTAGATCTAAAGGAGGTTATTAGGTCTGGAAGGCGAGACTGTTCCCGAGCCAGAGGAGACGCTGCCGGCCGGATCCAATCCCGGGAGTAGCAGACTGTGTTATAGGCCTCAAAGTCAACTTCAATTTATACATGTGATTAGCATATCTGTAAATATACAATATAAACAATTGTACAGGCGCATAGCTTTGTTCTCCACAACAGCAGACAAACTCTTTAGCTTAAGACACCTTCRCCTACCAAAACAAAAAAAGGCACATCTGAACAGGATGCACGGGAAGTACTGGAGCCTCCCCRACAGCCGAGACGGGTACTCCTCCTTCATCCTTTCTCCAAAGAACTAAGGCCAACCAAGTATTTTGGTATTTAGATTTCAACCTACTTTTTTTCCTTTGTCTTCAGCAGCAAATCAATGGCAATTAAGACATGGCATAAGAATATTCCAGAACAGGAGCTGTCACTCAGCAACCTCCAGCCTTACACCAAGGCAAGTGGCCAGAGGTTTCAAACCAGTGACACTGTGTCCTCTTGTTGTGTGATCATCCCATTGCTGGGTTTCCTTAATTAAAAAAAAGGCCACTAGTGCTCAAATTTGAAAAAAATTCCACAGACGCACCTTTTTTTTGGCTCAGTGCAATTAAATGATGTCAGTTTAAATTCACTTAGTGTAGTTTACAGTGCAAAAGGTCTATTTTCGTGTCCTGGCAGAACTGTCGGCACTGAGGATGTGAACCAAGGCAATGCTGCTGCTCACCTGAGGGTAATGCTGTCCAGCCACACAGGCTGGAGTGTGTGTAGTCTGAATTTTTTCCAATTTAAACCTTTTTTTTTTTTGATCAGCAGCACTTTAAGAGCGTAATTTGTGAAAATACTAAAATACACTGCCTTTCTTTTTTTCAAATAAATTAAAAAAAAAAAAGAGGAACTTTACAAATACTATTCCAGTGTCAATGACTACTATGGCTAAGGTCATTGAGGAGTTTCTGCATTTTCTAGCAAAGACAGTCTGTGCAAAGGAGGGTGGGAGAGCTCCCTTTTGTAAGTCTTTGGTGGCAGTTTTGGTAGCTGAGGGCTGGAGTTGTGCCGGGGYGGCACGGGGGGCACGGGTGGCTGGGCCAGGTTGTTGTGGCTGGCGCTGAGGACGCAGCAGCGGCGCAGCACCCGCGGGGACGGGGTGCTGGGAGGGGTSCCCGGAGAGCTGGGACCGGAGCCGGCATCCCGCAGCCACTCGGGATCCCGGGGGAAGCGTCCCAGCGGCGGCGGCTGCAGGCTCAGGGGGCAGTTGATGAAGTGCTCGGGCGGCCGCAGCGGCACCGGGGGAGGGGTGTCGGGTACAGGGTCCCGGGGGGGTGGAGGAGGAGGGCTGTGCAGGGGCTGCTCCAAGGGGGTGCTGAAGGCAGGAGCACGAGGCTGGATCTTTGGAGGCGGCGGCTGCCGAGGTGGAATCGCTGGAGGATCGTCATCCGGCTTSGAATTTCCCTGTGTGGAGAAAAAGGAGATGTGAGAAATGGAGAGCTTGGAATCCCAGAATGACTTGGAATGGAAGGGACAATAAAGATCATCCCACATTCCACCCCCTGCCATGGCAGGGACACCTTCCACCATGCCAGGATGCTCCAAGCCCCATCCAGCCCGACCTTGGACATTTCCAGGGATCCAGGGGCCTCCCCAACCTTCCAGCCAAGAACTCCTTCCTAATATCCCATCTAAACCTACTCTCCATCACTTTAAAACTATTTCCCTTGCTCAGATGTTTGGATAAAGAGCCAGTCTTCTGAGAGATGCAGAATTCTCCTGACCTTTGCTAGTGGGGCTGTCAGAAACAYGACAGCTGTACTGTTGATGGGAATATAACCACTATGTTCCTGAAATTCCTACCAGAGTTTGGGCCCTGGGGATCCAAAACTTCAAAAAGGCCAACTGGAGCTCTGCATCTCAGTCTTTTAGACGACAGAGCCCTGCTTGGATCAATGCACAGACTTGACAATCTTAAGGTCTTATCCAAGCTAAATTATTCTAGACCCTAAACCATTCCTTGATTTATCTTCAAAGTTATTCAATCCAGGCCAGCAATACCTTAGCATTGGAAGTATCCTGATCCATCTTTTTTCTTGGAGGAAGTGGAGGAGGGTTCTGAGGCTCATCACTGAGTTTAGGGAAGCTCCCCCAGGAGCTGAAGAAAGTCTCTGCAGAGGGAAAAGCAGATCTTTTACTCCTTGTGCAATATCTGAGGAATGTATTCTGGAATATCAAGCCAAACTCCAAGCAACTCAAATAAGATCTTTGTGCTCCACAGCAACATGAACCAGTAACTTCAGCAGTATGAAATTCTTTAATTCACTGCTTTAATCAGATCTAGGCCTCACAAAGTGGTCTCCTATGTCCAGTATCAAGGATAGGCATCAACAGTTAGCAGGCAATGCTGAGGGACAGCAAAATAAATCAAGGGAACTCCAAGTGAGTTTTCAGAGAGGGGAAAAATATCCTCAAATTAAGAAACAACACAACCCCCAACTTGTACTGGTGATTGCTGTAAAACCTTTGCTTTTCCTCTTAGGAGCACACTGAGCTCTGTGTCTACATCAGGCCTGTGCTCTCCAGCTGGAAATTAAATCAATCATACTAAAACCAGAAGTGGAATAAATAAAAAGAACAGCTGAAAACACAGGTGAGTCTGGTACAAAAAGTGTCTCTTCTTTCCCAGCAACAGAGCAGTTATTTTCACTAAGTGGAATTAGGAAATTATCAAGTTGCTCCATTTGTAGCTTTAGTCAAACAAAACAATCACCAAGGACATTCAAAATAGAAGGAAAATCATGTGAGAGCCTSGAGATAAAAACCCAACCCAAACCAAAACYAAMCCAGCAGTTTAAGTTTTAGATTTTACATTYTTTACTGGACATCTGATCTAAACAGAATCCTTCTGAATGCAGCCCATTCTCATCCCAGATTTCAGATTTTAATTCCCATTGAGCTCTCTTAAACCCAGGGAAGACAGAGTTAAATATTTAACAGAGTTCCAACACTTACTCGACTGAGGCAAGTTCACGGGAGCGAAGATGCTGTTGTTACCTGAGAAATAAAAAAATCCATTAAAGAATTCCCAGAACAGAACCACTGCACTGCAGCACATAACAAATGAGAGATCMGAAAAATCCCCACGTTTATCCACTACCAATGTGAATTAAAATTTCCCATGTAAAAGATTCCTGAACTGGAGAATT